TCGAGTTGCGCTATCGCGCACACTCGAATTAAGTGGAATCACATTCCACCTGGCACGACCCAACGATTTTGTTGATCAATTGCATACTTCCGAGAAGTTAAATCTGTTCGAGAGCTCTCTCTAATGTGTTCGTGGATTCAACGATCATCAATTATTCATAACAAAATATAGTCGTCGCAATAGCCTCAAGGATTACATGAGGAAACCACCGTCCGGTGAGGTCGGGGAGAGAGAGAGATAGAGAGAGACCGTGTCGCAGACTCGCGATGGCATTTAGTCGTTTCGACATTGCGCATAATTCCCGGTCGCGTAGGAAATGATTTTCTTCGTTCGACACAAACGCGAAGCTCTCCCAAGCTGCTCGCGGCTAAACGTCGCGGTGCGACACGGCCTTCGCGCGAGAGCAACGAGCGTGGCGCGTCGCGAAAGAGAGAGAGAGAGAAATAGATAGACGAGGATCAGAGGTAGAGGATCTAAGACGGGGACCTTATTTTTTTTTTACAACGAGATGATACCGCGATGCAAGAGAGATGACATTTGCAACTTGCGTCGCGGTGTGAATTACTCGACTTGAGGAAGACCTGCGAAGGGCAATTGTCACGCGTGACGTGTCGCGCACTTGTCTTCGAGAGACGCGTCTCTCTGCGTATTATATCATGTATATATGATACGAGTTTACGTTGAACTATAAATGCGCAAAAAAAAGAAGAAGGAGATTTTGATCTGTTCGCGTGTTACAGTTTTTGTTAAGAAGAACCCGAGTCGAAATTTAGCGTCTACATTGAACCTCAATTTTTCTTTTTTTATGTAGGAGTAAGAGAGAAAGTAGATCCTACTTTGACGCTGCTATACGTCCGAAATTTCCTTTTTTCCTGCTAAAGTTTTAAAGTAGGGCTCAATTCTCAGATCAGACTGCGCATTGCGGGCTCTGATAATCTCAAAATAGGCTCTGATAGGCTCAAAGTAAAATTAAGAAAAAAAGTAGATGCTACTTTGACGCTGCTATACGTCCGAAATTTCCTTTTTTAAAAAATTGAGGTTCAATGTAGACGCTAAATTTCGACTCGGGAAAACGCGGACTATAAAGCGGAAAAGATTATTTTTCTCCACAATCACGACGATATATCGTATATATATAGGTTGCACGAAATTACTTTGCGCGGATCTTGCGCAAAAGAAACCGATCGCTTTGAAACCAAAAAAAAAAAAAAAAAAAAGCACATAATTCCTAACGGCGCAATAATAAGAGAGATCGCTAATAGCATTGAAAACGATAAGTTTCGCGACGCGAGAGGATTAGAGGCCGTATAGCAACAAGCGCGCGCTTGTGCTCTTATCGGATAATAGAACAAGCGCGCATTTCGCCGCTCAAGTGGACAATCCATCACGTATCAATAGAATCGACGATCGATCTCTCTCTCTCTCTCTCTCTCTCTCTTTCTGCGTATATATATTCTTTAAAACTGCCTAACGAACTCGATCTTGCTATGGCTCAACCGCCCACGAGCCCGCGTACAAAACCGCGAGCTTTTGTCAAAAGCTTTTGTCCGAGGCTTTTCTCACAAGAGGACAGATATTTGCGTTCTTGGGATTGAAGAAATAGAAGATAAATGAAGAGAAAGGGGGAAGAGAGAGCTTTCAGAGCTTAGGAATTCACAAACCACGTTTTATATCAGCGTTTATCAGCATCGGTTCTTCGATATTATCTCCGATTAAGTGTCTTAACTATTCTTCTAATTTGACGTCGAGAGATTAGGGCTCCTGTCGTCGTCGCTTTCCATCGACGATGGAGCCGTCGTTCGGCTTCTTCGTGTAACGAATATTGAGCGTATCGTCGAGGATGAATGAGAAACGGCCAGAGAGAGAGAGAGAGAGAGAAGAGATGGCGAGCATGCCGCGCGCTTCCGCGTTTCTCCTCAAGTACGTAAATCTTTGTCGCGATTTGCGAACGCTCTATTGCTGCGGCGCGTTGCAGCCGAGATTCGCTCGCACGAAGACAAATTTTGTTCGTTGCCGGGAAACCCAACGGCGCAAGCAACGTGGTAACGCGCGCCGGACGCTGTTAATAATACCGCCACTGTGTGCTATCACAATAGCGCGAGAGGTATTTCCCTCTAAGAGAACGCACTTTATTTCTTCTTTCCTCTCTCGTCCCTCCTTGGAACGCATTGGCTAAGCGATGCCTCCGAGGCAGTGACGTACGATTTCTATTTAAAGGTAAAATCAGTACGCGTGTGCGAATGTGATATTGCAAGAACGATATTAGTTTCTATTGAATTTCTAACGATTAGATTTTTCTACGTTACAAACGCAGGTGTTAAAACTCGAAATCTCAAGACAAAGGAATTTTTGCAAACAGAAGAAAAGTTTCAATTGAAATCAAAAATTTCAAATTGTTGCGTTCATGCACGGAAAAAAAAGATTTGCTAAAATAGCAAGAAATTAGTTACTATATGGCCAGCAAAAAAACATTTGTTAAGTTTAGTAAAATTTTTGTTTTGCAAACAAAATATTTTGTTGATGAAACAAAAAATTTCGTAGGATCAACCATTTTTTTTGCTGACTATATAATAGCAAAACTTTTTTTTCCGTGTGTCTTTAACGACCCCACGAGTCGAAATTTAGCGTCTACATTGAATCTCAATTTTTGAAGAAAGGAAATTTCGGACGTACAGCAGCGTCGAAGTAGCATCTACTTTTTTTCTTACTCCTACTTTGAGCCTATCAGAGCCTATTTTGAGCCTATCAGAGCCTGCAATGCGCAGTTTGATCTGAGAATTAAACCCTAGTTTAAAACTTTGGCAAGAAAAAAGAAAATTTCGGATCTATAGCAGCGTCAAAGTAGGATCTACTTTCTCTCTTACTCCTACATAAAAAAAGAAAAATTGATTGTTCAATGTAGACGCTAAATTTCGATTCGGGACGTTATATTTGACGCAAAATAAAATTACTAAATTTGTCATTGCCTCGAATTTTGGCTCATTTTTTTTAATTATTATTATTGTTTCAAAACTCTGAATTAAAAGCGTATTCACGCTCACGTGTAACGTCGGAATTTCGTCGGCGTTGAACAACGTAACAGATATACCGGTATTTCGCCGTGGCAACGCGTTAAATTTACTTTCACCGACCGAATCGTGTGTACGTGTGTAGGTCTCTCTCTCTCTCTCTCTTTCTCTCTCGGCTATGCGAGATTATCTATACAAAAAGTTCGAGCGATTGTCGCACGAACCTCCGTGAGAGTTCATTTCCGTGATATGTACGGTAGGTAATTATGTTGGAGGAACGCAACAAGTAGTCCCTTCGAAAGAAGGCCGAAGACCTCGGATTAAAATCGATCGGTTTGTATGTAGCGACACACACACGATTCGTTTCGCGAATTGCCCGATGAAAGTATATACGCAAATTCGCACGGAGATTTATATATGTTCGGACTCGTTTGTATCACGCCACGGCTAATTCGCACGGAAAATGTCCCGGGCAAGTGTAAAATATCACTTTCAATTCCTTTCCCGCAAACGCAACGACCGCAGAATTTTTCACGTCGCGTGAAACTTCGAATATCGCATCAGCCGAATTCTAAACGTTCTCGTCGACATCACTTTGTATTTTTTTTTTCTTTAATGCGAATTTCGAGAGTTGATATGTAAAATTTCGAAGCGAAGAAGAAAAATTCAAGTATATCGCGCGAATCTGAAAATCAACGTTTAAAAATGACGTCAATTAACGTACTCGAACAAATGTTTGTCGAAATGTGAAGTGAATCTTTTCTTGATTTTGTTTTATATTTTTCGTTCGAACGACATCCGACCGGTTTGTGCAACAAGTTCCGATATCTGTGCGGGCGTATTTTTCTAGTCGGAAGAGCAACAACAAAAAGTCAAATATATATATGTGTATTTCGAGTATATTACTTTTATTGATTCAGTTTCATCTCTTTGACGAATGTAAGCAAGCGAAGCGTGGTTTATTGTATAGTTCACTATTTCCCGACGTGATATATAGTTTGTTGTATCAACTCTCGATTAACAACAGGTGCAATGAGAATGTTGGGTGAAATCGGAATGACGACCTCGGTGACGTTACAACGATCTCAATGATAATAAGAGAAGAATTCTATTTGTTATCTAAGTCCTTCTACTGTGTGTACAGGTATTTGTATCGGCAAATAAAAGATAAGAGAGAGGCAAAGATATTTCAAATTCAAATACGTATATATATATATAGATTACGGCAAAACATTATAATAAGGGTAAAAAAATCAATCGAAGTTGTGGAATTAACTTCTTCCAGACTAAAAAAAAATGTATAGACTAAGAAAATTAAAATAACATACACATATGACATATGTGTTTATAAATTCTAGTATCTGTAAGAATATATTCAGAAAAAAAATAATAATATTAATATTAATATTTTTATATTAATATTTTTAAAAAATATTAATATTAGAAAAAAAGTATTTAGATAAGAATATGTTTAGAAAAAATCTCACGCGGCAGAGAGATACACTTCGGTAAGTTCTCTGTCAACTTATCGAAGAGAGAGAGAGAGAGAGCGATCTATGAAATTCCGAACATATTTTTGCTGAAAATCTGAGTCATTGGTCCCCCGCACAGGCCAACTGATCACAGATCGTTCTGTACGAAATACATTAAAAATGTACATTTAGAAAACAATGTGACGTAAAGAATAGAAATGTCACATCAATTACAAAAAGTGAAATCCACCACCTCCATTCACCTTCCTCTCTCTTCACCCGATAAGGTTAACTCTTCAAAAATTCTTTAGATATACTTTAAAATACTTCGATCTCGTTAAATACATTATTTTTTTACTTGTTTTCAAAAGTGATCTTTTACTTGTACGTTACATTTGTCAATTTCGCGCTGTTAATCTCTAATTTTTAGAGAACTCTAATTTTTTTTTTTTCGGAGTGATGAAGAGAAAACAAAAATCTCATCAGATTAGTGCGTGACGAAATTAAAAATGAAACTCACCCTTATGCCGGCGCCACTGTCTGTAGAGAAGCGCGGCGACCGCGAGCAGAAGGATCGTCGTCAGAAAGGTCCCGATCACGGCTCCGGCCACGCTGCCCGCCCCGAAGCAGGTATCCTGCGCCGCTGCGTCCTCCATGGCTCGCTCAGGTCCGCCTCTCGCACATATTCTCGCGCGGGTTCAACCGGTCGCGACGTTCTCGCCGCGCCGCGACTTGCCTCCGCGACTCGCTCTCCTCCTCGTTTTTTCTCTCTCTCTCTCTCTTTTCCTCTTCTTTCCGTGTCGTCAATTTGGTCGCATAGTTCCGCGCTCGCGTGTGGACCGAAATTTCGAAACGACGGAGCAAAACGACAACGAGATGCTCTGTATATAAAAAACTTTTTCTCTTTTTGCTTTCGTTCTTCTCTCGTTCTATATCGATCGCTCGCGACCGAAGTCGTCAGTTCGAAAACGCGTATAAGAAATAATCGATAAAGAATCGCTTGGTTGTGATACGTTGAAATCACGTGCGATTGTTTCGACAATTATCGCGAGGTCGCGTCGCAACTTCAAATGCACTCGACGCGCTCTGTGCGCGCGACGTTTTTTTTGCTAGCGCGACGCGAAGTGCGTCGCAGACGGCACAAAAGTCCGACGATGTCGGCCGATTTCTCGCGTTACCGCGGCGACTTACGCGTTTTACCGGACGCGAATTCTCTTTTTTTTGACAGATTTTCTCTCTCCGCCACCACACCGGTTTAAAAAAAACCGACCGAATGACGGTTCGTTTTTTTGACGACCACGGAGAAGAACAAGTCCGATATTCGATACTAACCGCGCTCTCAACTTTCAGTTCTGACACTGTCAACTCGACGAGTTCATTTTATTCACAAGCGCGATTTTCACAAACGCGCCTCTGCTCGCGCGCGAGTTTCTCACGTCACGGTTAAAAAAAAAAGGGAGATCATTCACCTGCTGCGCGCACCTCCTGGCCGCTATAACGTCGCGCAATGCACTGACGAAGCCGCGAAGCGAGTAAAACAGGTAGGCCAGCAACAGGTGCTTCTGACTCTTGCGCCGGGAAGCGAGAGAGGTGGAAGAGATTGTTGATGCTTCTCGGTGATCAGGGGCGACTCTAGGCGCGCGTGTCCGAGTGGGAATAATCGGGGCGCGAATAACAAGAAGAATTTCCCTATGAAATTGAATTTATCATTGAATTTCTCTTCGGTGTGTCAACATTTATTTTCACTATTCTTGGAAAAAAAGCAGAAAAAGAATAGAAAAAATTGTTCTGTAGCTTGCAATTTTTTTTACAAAATGTATAAATTATACACGCATTATACATCACAAAAAAACCTTACCTTCATGAAGAAAACTAAAAGATTAGCCATACGCGCCATAACCTATAGGTTTTACCCTATAGGTTTTACATATATATTATATATACAAAAAAAAATTACTTTTCCACACAAATACAAAATTTCTTATTTTCTTTTAACAAAATGTATCTTATATAGAAGTCTAGAAACATTGTTGTACTATGTGTGAAAATCTTTTTGCATATAAAAACTACTTCCGCAAAATCGATTTTGAGAATCCGAAGCTCATTTGAGCATAATTTTATGGAATCAAATTTGTGTCTCGTATGAACGAAAAAGTAATCGAAAATCACAACGAAATTGTTTAATTTGCAATTGATATCTTACCATACCGTACTCAGTATATCGAAGCGCGCGACATTTCGAGAATCGCAATAACGAATAGACGCGCGTGGCAAAGCGCGCCTAGGACTACGTAAACCAGAGAGAAGAACATGACAGCGGCCAGGCCCCAATAAGAGTTTTGACGATCGCTTTTCCGCCCCGTAAGTTAGCGCCACGAGTGGTGTACACTGGCAACTACGTAGCGATATCGACTTGTCGATACGTACGCAATGTTCAAACGTGGACATGGTTCTCTTCCGTGCTATGTGCAAATGCGTCAATATACAGATTTGTATTTACATCGATATAACGGATGCTTGATATTTGTTGATGACCAATCTCGTGATGAGAAGATGAGAAAGGAAAACGGATAAAAATAAGAAAAACCATGGCAACTTTTCGTACAACATAAATGTGATATACAAGAAAAGATGTGATAGTCAAGAAAAGATTCTTATTTTAGCGAGCAACATCAGAATTCGTGGAGTGTAGTTAACTATCATCTCCTTTTACATCATCATTTGCTGCTCTGTGTTTTATAAATTTTATTTTATTTTTTTAAAAACACTACATACACAAAAAAACCATATATATTATACAAAGATGTTTTAACGGTACACAAATATAATGTCTGAAAAGTTGCAATTTCAAGAAATATTGCTTTTGCTTTTTTATGTAAAACTCTGATAAAGAGTGTTTTCTATTTCCAAGTTTCATTTTACACTTTTTTTATACATTACGATAGAATATTTTTTTACAATAGAATCATTACAATTCTATTACACATTTATTACATATAACATACAATATAATATATAAATAGTTACATATATATAATCCTACCTACCTATCTTAAACATCTGACATATCTTAAATGTTACTAGCCTCATTAATTAGAATTAAGGCTGCATGACAGCCTTGATCCTAATTGTACATTTTTATTTCTTCTACCTACCTATCTCTGATCTATACATATTTCCTACCGATCCGGTCTAATTTCTTTTTGTACAAACGCTTGTAGATACCTACATCCCTACCTACACAGATAATTACCTACCTACTTTGGAAAGTTTTAAAACCTATCAAATATTTTACGCGAGGGGCAGTTGTTTTAAAATTAAAAAGTAATTATTTTAAATTTATTTTAGTCTCCCGACCGAGTTTTTATATTTTATTTGATTTAAAGAAAATATGTACCCATCCGATAAAGCCTACCATGTATTTATAGATGAGATAGAATATGAAAAAAGTAAAAATATATATTTAAATATATATATATTTCAAATATATATTCAAATATATATTTTTGCAAAGATAAAATAGAAAAGAATAAGTATAAAGAAAAGAATAGATATAAAAGACATAAGTCTCCGAAAAAAGATTCTATATCGGTTCTTTAAGAGAAATTGATATAGAAATATAAAACTGGATGTAGAAAAAAGATATAAAGAATATAAGTCTTTAAAAAACAATTCTATATCAGTACTTTAAGAGAAATTGATATAGAAATATGAAAGTAGATGTAGAAAATATAGATGAATATATAGATTTAAAAAATTAAAAAAAAATTAAAAAAAGCACATATATAAAAGAAATATTACAGTATTGTTTTAAATCACACAATATATGAAAATATATGAAAATTTCATCAAAAAAGAAGATATCGTTAATCCCTACGTATAATTATATAAGTGACACGTACCGAATTTTCAGTTTATTGCATAATGACACTTAGAAAGTCATGTTCCTTATGATCACCAAATATTTAAAAACAATATTCTTAATTAAGGTAAAAATTTAAAATCGAAAGATCTCTTAACTAGGAAAACTATATGAAGCTTTAAACTTTTAAACTGCTCTTCTCTAAAATTTGCGTTTTGGAATTACGGGATTATACGTAGAGAGTGACGATATAGTGACAAATCAGTGCGATTACTCTACTCATGCAGAATAATTTATTCTTCTCAAAAATTTTCATGGTAGAAATATAAAACATAATCGATTAATTAATTCTAAATTATTATTTCTCCTTTATATATGCTCAAATTCTATATCTAGATATACATAATAATTTTATATGAGATTGCGAAGATCTCATATATCATTGTATTTAATTAAACATTATCAGATATAGGATATGTCCATATATGAGGGATTTTTTTCCAGACTATTATAAAAGAAATCGTTGCAGAATACTTTAATTAAGTTACTATATTTAAAATTTATCAGGCATATAACTTTAAAAACTGTAATTTGCTTGTATAAATTATAATTTAAAATGT